TGGTGATTGGAGAGATGCCAGACAGATCAGAACCATCATTGTCACCTGCGGTACGAGAAGGGCAACCTTCACTAAAGTAAGTATTGGCAGGACCAGGACCTTAGCTTTTTCAATTTACCCCTGTACAGTAGTCATCTGTTGTTCAGGTTGCATTATATTTCCAAGGGGAAAGAGGGAATCCTGTGACATCTTTCACTAGTGTCAGTGTGAAGGACAGGAAGGAGAATATTTGAGTGTGAAGTACATATTGTTACTGATTCAATAATATTATTGTATATTGAAGAATTATGGTCTATTTCTCTACTTCTCATATCTCTCTGAAGCACATTTTATAAAGGTTAATGTGAAAGGTATCTCAAGAAGTAATTAAAATATTCATATTAAAAGGAAAACACAGAAGCATCTTTAGATAACAAAAGAAGTTGGCATTTGCATGCTAGGCACTAAAGCACAGTGTGTCTGCTGGCCACTAAGTAAAATAATTGTTGCCATTTATATTTTACTCATCTGTATAAATAATTATTTCTCTTATTTCTTATCCTCCATTTTCCTTTTCCTGTCAAAGACCATGAAGCTAGTATTTATGACATACAGCTTAAGGCACAAATCACATTCAGTTCTTATTGTCATGTTAATCATGAGAAATAGACTAAAAAGTAAGATAATTTGTTAAACTCTACTGACAGTATGAACTGGCTGTAGAAGGAAATATACAGTAAAAGAAAGTTACCCTTCAGACAAAATTTGTAGTGCAACTGGTTTGTTCAATACTGAACCAAGAAAAAGGAGACTTCTCTTTGCTGTTTTCATTGTTTTCTGTACTGTTTTTAACGTGTTTTTGGCACACAGATATTTTTAAAACATCATTTTATGACCAAAGCAATGCCTTCAAGGCAAAGGATTGTAAATAAAAGTCAGCTACAACATTCACAAGACTAAGTACCTAATAAATTCATTGTAAAATCAGAAGAGCAATAGCGATAGTGGTGAAAATTACAGCTGAAACATGTAAACCAGAATCAATATCAATAAAATGCAGAGGTGCACATACAAGTCTTTAGGCCCATGTGATGCCTGGTTATAGTTATACAGTAGACATATTGTTTATATTGTGATGGTAGGTCTGTTGTTTGAAATGTGTTGGTTTAGTAAATAAGTGATGGGAGAAGCTGAATGAGGAGCATGAGATACTGGCAAGAATATTTTTGTTTGGCCTGGAGAGAAACTACATAAGTTCTCCTCCTGCCTTAGACAGTAGAAGAGCTTGAGACAGCACTGCCTACAAACACTATGCTCAGAGAGGTGGTGGTGACATTCTTGGCTCAGATTGCATGCCCAGCTCCCCATCTCTTGTTTACATCATCCCTCCCTTCAGTTTGGTGTTTTCCAAGCTTCACTGCCTCCTTTGTCTCCTAATATGTAGCTTCAGCTGTGTGGGGGGGAGACATCATGAGAAATAGACTAAAAAGTAAGATAATTTGTTAAACTCTACTGACAGTATGAACTGGCTGTAGAAGGAAATATACAGTAAAAGAAAGTTACCCTTCAGACAAAATTTGTAGTGCAACTGGTTTGCTCAATACTGAACCAAGAAAAAGGAAACTTCTCTTTGCTGTTTTCATTGTTTTCTGTACGATTTTTAACGTGTTTTTGGCACACAGATATTTTTAATACATCATTTTATGACCAAAGCAATGCCTTCAAGGCAAAGGATTGTAAATAAAAGTCAGCTACAACATTCACAAGACTAAGTACCTAATAAATTCATTGTAAAATCAGAAGAGCAATAGCGATAGTGGTGAAAATTACAGCTGAAACATGTAAACCAGAATCAATATCAATAAAATGCAGAGGTGCACATACAAGCCTTTAGGCCCGTGTGATGCCTGGTTATAGTTATACAGAAGATATATTGTTTATATTGTGATGGTAGGTCTGTTGTTTGAAATGTGTTGGTTTAGTAAATAAGTGATGGGAGAAGCTGAATGAGGAGCATGAGATACTGGCAAGAATATTTTTGTTTGGCCTGGAGAGAAACTACATAAGGAGGGGGAGAGTGTGTGGAAGAAAGTGGAGTCTGGGAGGGATGAGTCTGAGACTGAGGAGGGAAGAGATGTCGGCGAGAGTGAAGACTTGTGTTAAATGAATTTGCAGCCCAGGAATAAGCGCCATTCTTTTCACACGGTTGTTTTAATAAATCATTATTAATTCTAATCAAGCCGAGTGGTGCTATGTGGAAGGTGTATGTTATAAGGTCCTGATTGAAGGGGCAAATATGCACACAGAGGGGCACTTAAAGGTTGCTAGCAGTGAAAGCAAGAAAAAAAGATGAAATAAGTGAACATTATTAAGGAAAATGCATTTATTCACGTAGTTATCTAAAGAGACAATTACCTAAATGGTCAAGTGACTGCATTTTTGTGCAAATGTCATTTAAGTATCTGGCTGCAGAAACAGAGTCTGAGAGGTCAATTTGTTGGAGTTCTGTTTGCAATCTTGCATGCTGCCTGTAATTTGTGTGATGGAGAGGGACTTTTCTGGGCAGGGGTGATTATCCATTTATCCAACACTAACCAATCATTCTTTCCAGCCTTTGAATTCAAGGAGAGTTCTGCCTTTCTGCTGAGTGCTTCTATCCCTCTCTTTTCTCGGTTGACATAATTTGTTTGCTTGCTGTTGATCTGTTTGGTTGGTTACCAAGTATATGTTGCAATAAAGAAAGCAGCATGCACAAGTCTGTAATTTCAAGAAACTGCAAGTGAATATTTTCCCCCTTTCTCCTACAAATGCCTTAGAGTGAGTTGTTGAGACATGAAGAGCCTGTGAAGAGAAATGGGTGGACTCTGTAGAACTTGTAGCTATTTTCCTCTGTAGGTCTTTCCTCTGTGGGATCTTCTACTGCATAGTAAAAAGGGAATTTGACCAGAAATTCAAAACTCTGCAACACAGCTCCTCATTGTACATCACAGACAAGCCAGGCTGTGTGATCTTGGGCAAGCTATACAGTCCCAGGATGCCTTGAGAAGAAAAGAATGATAAACTATTTCTGAATAATCTCTACCTAGAAAACCTGGGTATTTCTGAGTAATCTCTACCTAGAAAACCTGGGAACGCTCTCCATAAGTCAGAATTGACAAAATAGTTATATGATGATGATCATGGTGTGTGTGAGCCAGCTACAGCCGGCTGGTGGGAAGGAGCTAAGTGCCAGTGTGGGCAGGCCCCCTTAACAACAGCAGGACTGTTATCACTCAGGAAAACACCTGAGGTGGGGGAGAGCGGAGGCCCTGGGCCCTCCCTCAGGGAAACAGCTGTAGCCTTGGTTGAGGCAGAAACAGAGGGGAGTGAACAGGGAGAGGTTTTGGAACTGGACATTTGGGAGGAAGCTTGGAAGTTCCCACCACCTTTGGCAGAGAAAGGAGAGAAGCTGGAAGAAGCCAGGGGAGATGCTGGAAGAAGCTTCCAAGAGGCTGGTATCTTCGGAGGACTGTTGGCTCAGCTGAAGGCTGGTATCTGAACAAAGGGGGGGAAAGGAAGGCAGGTTGGAGGCCGAGGGAAGGAAACTCCCAAGGACAGACAATACTGCATAGCCTCTTCCACCTGCAGGCTTCAAGCTGAGTTGCTTTAGATGCCTCATCAGAGGCTGGGCTGGCAAGGACTGTTTACCAGCCAGGCCTTTTCGTATCAGCTGTGACTAGGTGCCTTAGGAGTGCTGAAGAACATGGGCTGGCAAGGACTGTTTACCAGCCAGGTCTTTTCGTATCAGCTGTGACTAGCTGCCTTAGGAGTGCTGTAACTCCAGAGGAACTGGAGCTGGATATTCCTTCAGCCCTAAAAGGAATGAAATTACAAAGAATTACCTGGCTGTATAAAGCTGGGACCCCATCCTGCAAAGGACTACAGAGACATTGCATTTTCCTTTTTTTCCTTTGTGTGCTAAGTCAAATAAACTTAAGTAATCCCCAGAATGGTTGTTGTGGGTTTTTTGGGCTCTTTGGCCATGTTCTGAAGGTTGTTCTTCCTAACGTTTCGTCAGTCTCTGTGGCCAGCATCTTCAGAGGACAGCACTCTGTGCTCTGGTGCAGTTGGCTTGTCCCCACAACAACCATTAGATCCCGGCCGTGAAAGCCTTCGCGAATACATTAATCCCCAGAACTTGCTGCCTCATTTTGGATACAGCAGCCAGGGCTGCTCACAATGTGACAGCCCATTTAAAAGTAATCATCATGGAATCAAATGTATTTCTGCGTTGAATTCTGTTTTCAAAGCAATAATGGAGAAATTAAACAAAATAATGCATTAGGAAATAGACATGAAGGGAGCATGATGCATGTTTGTGAAGAAACATCACTGCGTGTTTTTTAAATTGTGTATACTACTATGTTTGACTGGAGTTTACAAGAGTTGAGCATGGCTGTTGCGGACAGGACATTTTAGAGATCGCTCATTCATATGGTTGCCATAAGTCAGAGTCAACTTGATGACACACAGCAATAACTGTGTTACAGAATGAAATGGTAAAATATGAGGAATTTACTACATTTTCTAAGGAACCTAAACCAGAGAAAGATATGTTTAAAGGTCAAGATGCCAGAGATCAGTTAACTCACTTTGATAGTATATGGTAAAGCTGACTATGAAATTTGTTTCTGTTCTACACACAAAAAGAAGCAATTCAAATTAGTAATGTTTGATTGGTGACTATCTCCTTTATGGGCACCAGGTTCCCTTGTCCTGCCTCCTCCAGCAGGCACCCAGTCGGAGGCATCAACATGGCTTCCCAGCTCTGCCTCCTCTGGGTGCTGCTTCTGAGTGGACACCACCAGAGGAAGTGGTCCAGGGAAGCTGGGGTGCCCACAGAAAAGCTGAGCAGCCAAATAGCCAAACTACACCAAACCTACCAAACCACAGTTTGTGCTCATCTTTAGTTTGGAGAATTGTGGGAAGACAGAGTTCTAACTATTATGAATTCCACTGGCTGAAGGTTCCTAACTGCCAAGTGTTGGCAGTTGCCCAGTTGAGCTCTTGCTGCACAGAGAACAGCAGATTTCAGGAGAAGAAATCAGAGGCTTGGAAAAGCTGAAGACTTCAGCCCAGGGACGCAGTTTGAAGGCTGACAGATGACTGCAAGACAAGACTGAAATCTCCCACAAAGATTTCTGGGAAAGGTTTGTGTGGTGTGGAGAGGAAAAAATCAGAAGCATAGTTCAAGAGGGAGCTTTGAGCAGAGGGTCAGCAAAAGTGAGCCTGAGGCAAAAGTTGTTCTTTACCAAAGGCATGAGTAAGAAAGCAGTCCAATAAATTAAGCTCTTTTGGATATAAAGTATGCAGAGCCCAGCTTGTAAAGTCAAGATCTAGTTGGAAGAAATATATTTCTGTCACCCCTGAAGAGTGGCAATAACTTTCATAACTATCACCACTTGCATTTCCATTACATATTCCTTTCTGTTCTCTGTTAATGTCTGCCTACTGATATTACACTCCCTGCATCTGAACTGTCCCTTGTTCCTGCCTACTAAAATATTTATCTCATGTGACAACAGAACGAGACAGAAATGTAGAGCTGCATGCCATCAAAATCACCCGTTTGATTCTAACATGATCCTGGGAAGGCTGATTTCTCAGGCATTCTAGGCTGCCTATATCATGTATTTGAACACTAACGTGATTTCAGCTCTAATGAGAAGTTATCTGTGATGTATACTTTGAGTAAATATGCTTAGGAATGTGCTGTCATGTTGGTTGCTGTGTGGAGTAGCTGCTTAAGCAAAACAGTCAACCAATGTTGATTAAGGAAGAAAAAACCCAATAGTTCCTTGGTAAATGACCTGATTTGTGATGTTCCAGGTTACCCAAACTTTTGTGTACTTTCCACATAGTATTCTTCTAGAACTGTTTGAGAGAAGAATACTCCTCTCATTCATTATCAGATGTGGAGCCAAACATTCCAGGCAGCAAAGAAATGAAAAGTATGGGCTATCCTCTGTGGGCTTTATGAAATGTAATGACCCAGTGTGGTCTGACAGATAGAGTGATGGAGTAGGACTCAAGAAACCTGTGTTCGAAGCCCCAAATAGCCATGGAAACTGACTAGGGGGGGAGGTTTGGAACTGATAAGACCACTCCTTAATATCTAATATACCTTAAAAGCCCTGTTAGGGTTGCTAAGAGTTCTGACTTGACAGGACATAACAAGAAATGTTACTGTAGCCAGGTATGATAATTTATCATACTAACGCTTTGAAACTAACTTGGGGAATCATTTAGGAATATTTGTTGCCTAGTTTTCCTATTATCTACATTTAGATGCTAATCCATAAACAGTTCAAGTAACATCTGAATTAATCATTACTACAGCAGAGGAAAGGAGAATGCAAACATATAAGTAGTGCTCAAAATATTACAAAGAGACGTTGATTCAAATGAAATCTGAAAAATACATACAATTTCAGTAGCTCCAGCTTTTGTTACCTTGCTTCATAAGATACAAATTGGTTTTGTTGCTCTGCTTATACTCTAACCTCTTTATGAAAACAATATTTGTCAGTGTCACAAAAAATCACAGCACAGTGAGTTAGGCACCTGGCTGTGGAGCCGAAAATTGAGAGTTCAATTCCTAACTGTGAATCCGGGGAGAAGAGCCAGCCTGTGTGGCCTTGGGAAAACTGCACAGTCTCAGAGCTCCCCCAGATGAAGGGAATCGTGAACCACTTCTGAACATCCTTTACCTAGAAAAACCTGAAAAAGGTCACCATAAATCAGGATTGGCTTGATGGCACACAGTTTTTAATTAGAGATGGGGGTATTCATATACGAATACAAATATCCCTGCACAGGCGACATAAAAGAGGGTCCAACCCTCTGATGGCAGAAATTGAGGAGGAATTAATAAACCTTGTAATGAGGGTGAAAGAGGAGAACGCAAAAAATGGTCTGAAGCTCAATATCAAAAAAACTAAGATCATGGCCACTGGTCCCATCACGTCCTGGCAAATAGAAGGGGAAGATATGGAGGTAGTGACAGATTTTACTTTCTTGGGCTCCATGATCACTGCAGATGGAGACAGCAGCCACGAAATTAAAAGACGCCTGCTTCTTGGGAGGAAAGTAATGACAAACCTTGACAGCATCTTAAAAAGCAGAGACATCACCTTGCCAAAAAAAGTCTGAATAGTCAAAGCTATGGTTTTTCCTGTAGTGATGTACGGAAGTGAGAGCTGGACCATAAAGGCTGACCGCCGAAGAACTGATGCTTTTGAATTGTGGTGCTGGAGGAGACTCTTGAGAGTCACCTGGACTGCAAAGAGAATAAACCTATCCATTTTGAAGGAAATCAACCCTGAATGCTCACTGGAAGAACAGATCCTGAAGCTGAGGCTCCAATACTTTGGCCACCTCATGAAAAAGACTCCCTGGAAAAGACCCTGATCTTGAGAAAGTGTGAAGGCAAGAGGAGAAGGGCACGACAGAGGATGAGATGATTGGACAGTGTGATCGAAGCAACCAACATGAATTTGGCCCAGCTCCGGGAGGCAGTGGAAGACAGGAGGGCCTGGCGTGCTCTGGTCTATGGGGTCACGAAGAGTCGGGCACCACTAAACGACTAAAAAACAATATCCCCATGGTGCCGGATGATTCACTCACCAATCCGCCGTGGATGGGGCAATTCTACCAATGGCTCCGCAGCATGCCATCCACTCACCACTCCTGGCAGGAGGCAGAAGGACAAACCTCGCTACAAGGTCAAAGAGTAGTGAGCGGATCGTGGAGCCATCAGTAGAATCATGCCATTCACGTCTGTGGCAGATCGGTGAGTGGACTGTCCGACCCCATGGGGCTGGACCCTCGTTAACACCACCTGTGCGGAGATATTTGTATTTGTATATGAATACAAATACCCCCATCTCTATTATTAATTTTTATTTAATCAGAGTGAAATAATGCATTCCTGCCAGTAGATGGCAAAAAGTATACACGCCACATCTAAGATTCTCAGCAGAAAAATAAAAAGGAAATGATTCGGAAGAAAGTCACAGTTCAATCCTTTCACTTGAATTTATCTGTCCAAGGAAGCATACAACATTTGATGTAATCAAAGAGAGTACAAAGAACCCCACACAGTATGAGCTATACCAGTTTTCACATATTTTGAATAATATAGGTAAGAAAAGCTGTCACATAGGTAGCCCTGGATTGAGTACTATTTATTTTACTTAACTAGATAGATAGGTTTATTTTAAAAGTCTGCTTTTTGCAGGCTATTCAAAGTGGTGTATATTATGGCAATAATTTGAAATGAAATGTAACTTTAAAATAAATGACATATTATAACAAGCAGAAGGGAAGCAGGTTAAAAGGAGGACCCTCAGAAGCATCATCAGAATGTGTGGAAGTCAGCAACAAAATACTCACTGAGAGAGAAGTATTTGAGTTGTTCTGCCAAAAGCTAACACCAGTAGATCCAAATGGATCTCCCCAGAACTGATTCTCTGTCTTCCATATCTATGTGAGAGCAATATGGCAGGTGTGATTTTAATATTTAGGCATGTACAGATGGGAGGAGGCCCTCAAGGTATCACTCTCCCCAACTCTTTATAGTAAGGCTGGGAAAAAGGTTTCTTCTCCTCCCTAGATGCATCCCTCCCATCTTTTCTGAAGGTTATATCACACTCATAGTTTGAGGCAAACACCTATTTGTGCACATCAACCCATAAAGCATCTTCATTTACATATATTTATACATCAGTGCAACTGTGTTGTTACTACAGTCATTCTATTTTCTCACATCGATCCACATTCTCTCTACTAATCCACACATCTATACCTACTCCATCGTTCCCATCCATCCACTGTCCACTCATAATCCCCTGAATATTTTGACTTCTAGCCCTTGTGTAATTTGATACCAATAAATATGACAGATGAGTCTCAGCTAAAAATCTGGTGGCTACATTGTGAACTCACAGAACTACTGGGGCAGTTGTAAAGCATACTGCAGTAGTACAATAGCCAACATCTAGTTAATATCTTACAAAAAAATCCTGTTTTCAGCACCTTTTAAAAACAAGGGTCCAAAATCCTATAGGTACTTCCAACTAGAGTGACATAACTGTTGATTAACCATTGATTAACTATTGATTTAGTGGGTTTAGAGATGACCAAAAGAATTTAGAAAAGGAGCACTCGGGTGAGCAAAGAGTCACAGATCCAGACTAAACCATCTTGCAGAACTCTAGTGATGGTACTTTCCTCTGCCTTGGCCCCTTACGTTCAGTGCTGTCAGTAACCATTGATTGTTCATAGGTCTTCATATGCCATGCATCCTTTTGGTTTGGCATACCTCTTCTCCCCTTTCCCAAGACATTCCCTCACTTGTGTGAAGTAAATTCATCTTTTTACTCTGAGCCAAGCCAAAAGTCACATTCTTACTATTCTTTGAGGGAAATCTTTGCTTGTGACAGTCAGTCTATTGAGTTCTGAGGATATTACCAAAATTCATGTTTCCTGCCATTTAAATGTTGTCAGCTCTGTAGTTAGTTTTAAATATTTAAATATTTCAAAATACATCTTGAATATTTAAAAATGATTCATATATCATATCAATAGAAGATACAGAATGCATTTCTACCCCTTAGAAGCATAAAAAAGCAAGAAGCACTTAAATACTGAAACTACAGGTTGCATGCTGTCACAGGTAAAATGCGAAAGAAATCTGCTACAAATCATTCCAGGCACTCAATATTAACGTCTAGGCCAAATATTGGTTAGTACCCACTGAAGATATTACTGTATATACAATAGGTATAGCTGAAAAGTATATACCATTTCATCCACTAGATGTCATAGTCACAATGTTCTTTGAAACACGCTGAATATCATTTATATCTCTTAAGAACTACATATTAGAACTACACAGAGGAATTATACCAGAAAGATTTGGATGTCCCGGACAACCCAGATAGTGTGGTTGCTGACCTTGAGCCAGACATCCTGGAGAATGAAGTCAAATAGAAAGCATGGCTAACAAAGCCAGTGGAGGTGATGGCATTCCAGTTGAACTATTTAAAATCTTAAAAGATTATGCTGTTAAGGTGGTACACTCAATATGTCAGCAAGTTTGGAAAACTCAGCAAGGCCAGAGGACTGGAAAAGATCAGTCTACATCCCAGTCCCAAAGAAGGGCAGTGCCAAAGAATGCTCCAACTACTGTACAATTGCACTCATTTCCCATGCTAGCAAGGTTATGCTCAAAATCCTCCAAGGTAAGTTTCAGCAGTATTTGGACCGAGATCTCCCAGAAGTACAAGCTGGATTTCGAAAGGGCAGAGGAACTAGATACCAAATTGCTAACATGTGCTGGATTATGGAGAAAGCCAGAGAGTTCCAGAAAAACATCTACTTCTGCTTCATTGACTATGCAAAGGCCTGTGACTGTGTGGACCATAGCAAACTATGGCAAGTCCTTAAAGAAATGTGAGTGCCTAATCACCTTATCTATCTCCTGAGAAATCTATACATGGGATAGGAAGCAACAGTTAGAACTGGATATGGAACAACTGATTGGTTCAAAATTGGGAAAGGAGTATGACAAGGCTGTATATTGTCCCCCGGCTTATTTAACTTATATGCAGAATACATCGTGCGAAAGGCTGGACTGGAGGAATCCCAAACTGGAATTAAGATTGCTGGAAGAAATATCAACAACCTCAGATATGCAGATAATACCACTGTGATGGCAGAAAGTGAAGAGAATTAAAGAATCTCTTGATGAGGGTGAAAGAGGAGAGCGCAAGAACAAAAAAAGTAAAACTACCCCATACTCTTATACTCTACAGTTCTTCAAGAAGTTTCTTTGCTTCTTCAAAAATGTGCCATAATCTCAGTCCCTTCATTTGACCTGCATAATGGTTTCTATTCAAGATACTTCACAGTCCCCAAAAAGGATGGAAGACTCCGTCCCATCCTCGATCTCAGGCACCTCAACAAATTCATTCAACCTCGACGATTCAGAATGCTGACTTTAGATATTATCATTCCTCTACTTTCACAGTGAGACTGGTTCGTCGTGATCAACCTCCAGGATGCCTATTTCCACATTTCTATTCACCCATGCCATCACAAATTTCTGTGTTTCCGGTTCGACGGCATAACTTATCAATTCTGTACTCTCCCATTCGGTCTATCCATGGCACCGAGGATCTTCATGAAGTGCATGGCACCAGTCGCAGCACACCTTCACCTTCAGGGCATAAACATCTTCCCTTATATAGATGACTGGTTGATAGTCGCAACATCCTATCACAACTCCGTCAGAGCCACCACCATCATGCTCAACACATTTCAAAGTCTCAGACTAAAGTTGAACTTTACAAAATCGCACCTTAAACTGGCCCAGATGGTTACTTACGTTGGAGCCCTTTTCAGCTCCTTGCAGGCCAGAGTGTTCCTCCCTCAAGAAAGAATTATAAAATTAAAGAGTGCCATTCAACCCTTCCGACCTCAAGCTTCCACACTGGCCCATCACATCCAACATCTTCTCAGGCTCATGGCATCTACAACCTCGATGATTCAGCATGCCCGACTCAAAATGAGATCACTCCAGTCGTGGTACCTGTCACTATTCAACTCAATGACAGACCATCCATCTCTATGACTGATGGTAACACCAGAATTAGCCCAACAACTCACCTGGTGGACATCTCTGTCAAATCTACTTGTAGGATGACCCTTTCAGCTCTTCCAACCAATGGTGCAAGTTACCACCGATGTCAGCCCATCTGGCTGGGTAGCACACTGCCTTCATTATGATTCATGGCCTATGGACAAAATAAGAAAAACTATTACATATCAATTGTCTCAAGCTTCTGGGGATTATCAGAGCTTTCCATGGTTTCCTACCAATCATCAAGGGTCACGTAGTACAGCTAGTCACAGACAATACCACAGCTGTATACTATGTGAACAAGCAAGGAGGTACCCATTCTTTGCCCCTCCTGTACCTTGCTATGGGAATTAGCGAGCATCATATCTTCCCGATAGCAGTACACATTTCCACAGACGAGAACTACATTGCAGGTCACCTCAGCCATCTGACATCGAGAACACATGTGTGGTCTCTAAATGATTCTGTCTTCTATTATCTTTGCTGTCGATGGGGTATACTCACCATCAATATCGTTGCTTCGAAAGCGAATGCCAAATGGCATGTCTATTGCTCTTGAGCTGGAGCAGATGAGAATTCTATCCGGGACACATTCAGGACAGATTGGGACAAAGGATTGTTCTACCTCTTCCCACCAATACCACTCATTCAAAGGACGATCATCCGAATTCGACATTTCCAATCAAATGTGATCCTCCTAGCTCCCTGGTGGCTGAGGCAACTGTGGTTCACTCACCTCAGGTTAATGTTGATGTATTCGTTCTGAATCCCTCTGCTTCCCAACCTTCTGACACAGGACAGCAGGATGGGCTACCATCCGGAAATGCCATGGCTGAATCTGACAGCTTGGAGGATACTCCTGCCTTGGAGTGTGTTCTCAATCGAGCTTGAAGGCCTTCAACCCAACTGTTATACAAAAACAAATGGAAAGCATTTCTTACCTTTGCTGAGACAAATAACTTACCTGTAGTACCTGTCTCTCTGAAAACACTACTTACCTTTCTACTACATCTATTTAACTTTGGATTCTCTTATTCTAGCTTTGAAGTCTATATTTCCGCCATTGTTGTCCATCAGCCGGCTAACTCTAAATCAGCAAAACTTTTGTCACACCCGATGGTAAAAAGGTTTCTTAAAGAAATGAAGAAGAATAACATTCATCCACCACGTCAATGGATGATACCTCAATGGTCATTGCAGCTTGTTCTTAATGCTCCCATGAGTCCACCTTTTGAACCTATGGCTTCATCAAAACTCAAACTACTATCTTTAAATACATCATTCTTTGTGGCGATAACATCTGCCAAAAGAGACAGTGAACTTGCTTCCCTCCGCTCAGACCCACAATTCATCCAATTCCTTCCAGATAAAGTCACATTGTACTTTGATGTCTCATTTTTGCCCAAGATTGTATCTGATTTTTATCTAAATCAACCAGTCATCTTACCATCATTCTTTCCATCACCATCAACACCTCTGGAGCGCATGCTACATTTGCTAGACATAAGATGCTCTCTTGACTTTTACATCAACAGGACCAAAGTTTTCAGGAAAACCAATAGACTTCCTGTGTTTCCATGGTCCTCACAAGGGAGCACCAGCCTCCTCACAATCTATCTCCAGATGGATTGTCCAGACCATCTCTTTGGCCTCTGAATTATCAGGCAAACCACCTCCTGATCATCTAACTGCACATTCTACTAGAGCGCTGTCAACATCTACTGCCTTCCAGCGTGGGATTGAGATACCTCATATCTGCCGTACTGTGACATGGTCTACTCCATCAACCTTTGTCAGACACTACTGTCCAGCTGTTAGAGCACATAATGACACTGGATTAGGCAGAGCTGTCTTAGTACCCTTCCTACCGTGACGCCCCGCCATCCAGTAAGTGAATCTTGCTAGTCACCCATTTGTGTGCATTGACAGAGGCCATGAAAAAGAAAAGAGGGTTACCTACTTGTAACCATAGTTCTTCAAGTGATCCTCTGTGAATTCACACATCCCACCCATCCTCCCTCTGTCCGTTACTTTTTCTTAAATGACTTTTTTTACCCCGCGGACAATTAATAGGAAATGGGCAGAGCATGCACTCCATGGGGGAACATCCCACTAATCATGTATCTTTAAGCTCTAAAATTTTCCAAGACATTCAGTGCACGCACAGAACAACCCATTTGTGTGAATTCACAGAGGATCACTCAAAGAACTATGGTTGCAGGTAGGTAACCTCCTTTTTTGCCCCTTTTCTCCTCAAGGTGCTTAAAGTAGCATGGGGAATGACTTGTACCTGGAACAGTTAAATCAATCAGAACTTCAGTTCCATACCCCTCATGGCTGTTTAAAATTCAATAAGGCCCCATTGAGCATTTTATCTGCCAATCTTTTATTAAATGCGCCTCTCAATAAAATACTGCTTTTGTTTCTGAAGCCACTTATTTTTTCAGATTTCAAGACTCTGGATACTCCTGGTAATCAATTTGTATAGGTTAGCCTCTCCCAAAGGTCCCACTTTGCCCACCCTTGGTCTATGAATTAGTTCATGTTGTCAGCAAGGGAGACTAACAAGGAGGTTTAGAGTTTTGTTGTTGTTTTCTCTTGCAGCAGCTCAAGCACGGCTCATGAAAAAGTGTGGAAGAGAGCCCGGAACTTTAGCTGAACATCTCTAGTCCATCAGCTGGCTGGAGAACGATGGGAACAAATTGACTTCCATGAGAGTCATTGAACTTGTGTTGGTGTCTATCTACAAACAATTCAGAATTGCAAACAACTGACCCACAACACTGTTTACTACAGAGTTTATTACAAACCTGTTGCTTTTGCAAAGCAGGCTTAATGCATGCTGGAGGAACTTCAGGGCTTGAAGTATTGCCCTGGCAGCTGTGTTTAACAGTTGAGTTTCCTTGTTACTTCCTTAATTCTGACCAAGAGCCCTTCCCCCCACAAGACATTGTGTGGCTCCACCAACTGACTGTTCTGCGCCAGCCGACATCAACCAGAAAACTGATGAAGTTATCTGAGGCAGTGTGAACTCATGTGAGCACCCAAGCTACATGATTTGGCCAACCATAGGGGGTGGGAGCAGAACTGAGTTTGTGGCACTTTATATTGTGAACCACCACTTGCAGAGAAGGAGGAGAATGAAGAAGATGAAGAAGATCTTGGGACTGGGGAGGATGAGGAAGGAGCAACAGCGATCCCCAGCTTGGAGTAGGGCCATTGCTTCTGCCCCTGCCATCTGCACCTCTCCCCTTGGCTGTGGCGGTGGCAGCAGCTATAAGATGCGAAAGAGGGACCAGGGCAGGCTGCATCAGGCTGTGGCCAAAGGAGATCTGGGTGAACTCCAGCGCTTGCTGCAGAAGCATGACCTCAATGAGCAGGATAAAGCTGGCAGGTGAGGAAATGCTAGTGCTGTGTTTGAATCCCTCCTCACATTCATACAAACAGCTCCTTCCCTCTTCCACTGGGTTGGAATCACATGGATGGGAAAGAAATTGGGAAGAGGGGAGCGGAGCTCCATCAGATGTTGAAAGTAATGGTATGGCTTCATTAGCAAAGGAGTGAGCTAGTCTGGGTTGCTTTGGAATGGTTTGATTAGATCACTTATTCCATTCACATCGAAATCAGTCCTGGAGCCCCAGTAGTTCTAATTTAATCAACCACATGTTGGCATTAGAGCACTCCATTTTGATCTGTTTGGTCACAAAATGCCACTCCCCTTCTCATTCCCCACCTCCTGCCTTCTCTTTATCAATAGCTGATTCTCTCCTTTCAATAAAGTGTGGGTTTTTTTTCCTGCCTCAGGCTTGCTAGAAATGAAAAGGCTTTAACTTTATTTCCTCCCCAGTGATCACTGCAGGCACAATCACAGTGGTGCTGATCCAGAATAGATGTGTGACTTTGAAAGTTGATTACTATCTCTTGATGGCCCTATCCACCACAAGTGACACCCATGTCCTTGGTTCCTGATTGGGTTGTTTTTCCCTCAAGGGCCAGTGTAGCTCCATCTTCAAAATGGTAGCACACACCTATGGTACAGTGCAGTGATCAAAGCATCAAACATTTTAATATTGAGCCATGGAGCTTTCTGGGTAACTTCTCAACCTATTCTAACTTGTGGGGTTGTTAGGAGGAGAACAAGGTGAAAACAGAACCTTGTGCAGATGAATCAAACAGCCCTTAGGAAAATCAATATTACTCCAACTTCTGTATTGATTGAACGTCATGGAATGTTTTCCAGAACTCCTTTGCTTCTTGCCTGCATCAGAGGACACACAGATATTGTTACTTTCTTAGTAGACAACAAATGCCAGCTAAATATCTGTGACAGTGAAAGGAGCTCTCCACTAATGAAGGTATGTATGAAACATAACACTGCAACATTATGGGTGCCATATCTGCAGGAAAGTGTATGTTTACTATAGTTTTTGTGTTACTGGTATTTATGAATGTAATAAATTACAAGTACTGATTACAACTGAAAAAAGTTCTTATATTAATTAATTAATTGGACATGTCATATTACTTGTGAACCTTACTTCCTTTTCTTAAATGTTTCAGGCTGTGCAACACCAGCAAGAATTTTGTGCAATTTACCTGCTTGAGCATGGAGCTGATCCTAATCTTGTGGATGTGAACAGTAACACTGCCCTCCACTTTGCTGCTTCAGATTCCAGCACATCCATCGCAAAGCATTTATTAGATCATAAAGCCCACATTGAAGCACAGAATAAGGTAAAGTGCAATTAATGTCATGTCATGTGAATAGATCAAACAGATGTGTTGCTTCTGCATGCTCTTTTGAAGGAAGAAATAGTTTCTGGAAGAAAGGTCTAACTTCAAACACCTGTCATGTTCATAAGTAAAGATCAGCCAAGAATTCTAATTTAATAAACCATAACATGGATGAGCTGTGTAATGTTGAGGAGATCCTATTTGTGTCCTTTTTGTTTATGTGATGGTAGGTGAATCAGGAAGGGATAGACATCTAACCTTGTGCTATGTTCAGGAGCAGCCAAGGAACCCAAAACCTGCCATTCAACTTCAAACCAGTTTGTTGTTGGCTTACAAATGCAGCTTCCTTCAGGTGCACTTGAATATAACACCAGGTTTTGATGTCAGACAAAGGTATTGCTTCAGTGTTTTTTGGCTTGCTTACATGATTGGAGGAGCGAAATGAGAGTAATTGGGCTATGTACTGTACATCAACATACAGCTTGTCTCACATTGTTTATGAAGAGATATTTTGAGTTGCTCATGAGGTGCAAATGTAGTCACTGCCATCATGCATTCAGTTCAGTTTTATTGACAAAGAAAAGGCCTTGTAATTATTAACCAGTTAATTAATCACTATCTCTTTTCTTCTCCTTCCCCCAGTCACGTTGGGACATGTACACCAATTTCCCAACATCTGCGTTTGCAACAAATCATGCTGATTCTATGTTGGAATGTGATATCATTAAAGTGATGGAAGTCTTAGTGCAAACAAAAGGGGTAAAGAGACCAGTATACATACTCACAGAGATAGTGGCCTGAGCACACTATTATCTAGTCCAGCTGCTAGCCATTAAAGTGTTGCTGTTGAACTACTGTGGTACAATACCTGTAGTTAGAGAGCTGAATTAGAACTTGGAAAAGCCAAGTTCTAGCCCCAAAAAAGCCATGAAGTTCACCGCATGACCTATAGTAATTCATATTCTTCCAACATGACCTATCTCACTATGTTGTTATGAGTATAAAGTGGTGGGGATGGGAGAGTCTTATGTACTGCTTTGAGCTCAGGAGGAAAGAGAGGATATGAATGTAACAAATGACACTGTTCTAAAGAAAAACACTGGTCAAAATCCTGTTGTTTCATTCTACCCGTGGAAGACAAACAGTGTAATTTCCAGTGGCTTCCAAGCCAGCAGGTGCATGTCCACCAAAATCCAAGTAGGGGCTTTTTAATTGCCAGTGAGAAGCATCTTTCCCTTCTGCAGGTATAACAAAGCAACAGGATTCCAGTCACTTTCTTGTACAGAAAACTTGTTTGTCTGAAGGAGTGTTGGCATCAATCATACTTTTAAGATTGTGAGATACTGTATATTTTTATTCTTATAACACTTACATGTATTTAATAGCTTTGAAATAAAATGTTACATATATTTAATGGCTTTGAAATATGACGTTTAATGTGTTATCCTTTATCCTTAGATAGCCTCTTTCCAGAGCAAAGAATATAGGGGGGAATGGTTTGTTGCAACTTGGAACTGTTTCTCGTTAAGCAGTCATGTCCACCAAAATCCAAGTAGGGACTTTTTAATTGCCAGTGAGAAGCATCTTTCCCTTCTGCAGGTATAACAAAGCAACAGGATTCCAGTCACTTTCTTGTACAGAAAACTTGTTTTTCTGAAGGAGCGTTGGCATCAGTCATACTTTTAAGATTGTGAGATACTGTATATTTGTATTCTTATAACACCTACATGTATTTAATAGCTTTGAAATAAAATGTTCCATATATTTAATGGCTTTGAAATATAACATATAATGTGTTATCCTTTATCTTTAGATAGCTTCTTTCCAGAGCAAAGAATATAGGGGGGGAATGGTTTGTTGCACCTTGGAACTGTTTCTCGTGAACCAGTATGACGCAGTGGATAGACAGTTGCAGTGGGACTAAGGAGATCTCGGTTTAAGTTGCTGGAGCACCATCACTTTAAAACAACTTGACAGTGTACAAAAGTATATAAAGAGTACCCGTCTTACCCAGGCTTCAAATTCTGCATAGAACTGTCTTTATTTTTGTAGCTTTTTTCTGTCAAATAAAAATGGTGCAAAAACAAAGTTTTACATAATTTATTTTATTTCAAATATTAACTGGGAAAACAGGAAAATACATGTATGTGATCCTCATGGCTTATTTATTTTTCTGCTTCTAGGATGGCAGCACTCCTCTGATGATTGCTGTAGCTGAAAATAATTGGGAAATGGTAGAGTTTCTTCTTAAAGAAGGAGCATCAGTACATGCCACTGATAAGTTAGGAAGGTACCGTCTGATTCATTTACCTGATCAAAGCTAGAGGAATAGTTCTCAAGTAATCCATTGCATTTCTTCCCTATGGACAAAAACCGACGAAGAGATTTTAACTTCTCAAATATAAAACTCTACAAATAGGTAGTTTTGTATGACATGGAAATAGTTCTTGAAGTTTTTGTTTATTGAACTGTTCGTGCTTTTGCAAAAAATCTATTGGAAGATTATGAAAGTATATCCTGTTTGTTGCATTTTTGGAACAAAAATTATAATAATTGAACTCAGAGACATTAAACATCAGAAGTGAAAAAACTACACAAATGAGTAGATTGTGCTTTGTTTTTTTTTCTCTTTCAGAACACCCTTATTGATTGCTGCCTCCAACAAAAAGCATGATTTGACAAATATTCTCCTTTCTTATGGATCAGATGTATCCCATAAAGATAACAGTGGGCAGTCAGCACAAGACTATGTTACTCATAATGATGATCCTATGTAAGCTTTTATTTCTACATTTTTTTCAAACAGTAGTAGAAGATTTTCCAGCAATCAAAAAGCTGCACAAGGAATTCCACATTTCATCTCTTTGAGTGCCCTGAGGCCAGAAGAGACAGGTTGTATTTCATCGATTCAGCTAGAAAAAAAGGAGATACAAAAAAATTTTCAGATCGCATGCAGGAGTGTATTCATAGGAAGCTGATGGACTGTGCAAGAAATAGGGGGCTGCCTCTGTAAGCTGAGTTAAACTGTTGTTCTGTCCTGGGTTCCCTTAAAAAAAATAAATTAAAAAGAAGTTTCATATCGACACAAAGTTTTTGCAAGATTTTAAGATGTTTTGTTTTTGTTTTTTGTCATTAGTCTTCAATATAGAGCTGAATATTCCACACAGAAAGAAGAAGCAGAGGATTCTCCCTCTGATCAAAAAGTCCTCTCTGTATTGAGCAGTCCAAACAGAGCAAGAGATACTGATATCACACTAGGTGCATCTCCTACAAATCAAGAAGGTATTATTTTATGTAGTAAGACCATATGGGATGTCATGCTGTATAATACCAAAGACATTATTTGGTTTTGGAGACTACTTGTCCTTTTAGTGACAAAAATGAATCAGTGAGCATGCACTAATATTGGAATTAATCCTTTGGTAGAGTGCTTTATTACCCATCTGGATAGACAAGCCACCTACCATAAATATCACCATCTTGCCTGCACTGAACTTTTATTTTGTTGGTCCTTACCAGTCCATAACTGTAACTAGTCCCTGACTTAGGATGCCATCACCTGAGCTGGATTTGAATTCTTCTTTTGAGAAAAAGGAAGGATATAAATTAAGTAAATTAAAATATATTTAAAAAAATTATGCAGGATTATGTGTTAGCAGCATACCAGATCTCTAAACCCTAAATTTCCTGCATATAAATGGTAGCTTTGATGTTGAGCAGAATACATGGAAATAAGCACAAATGTTGGAGAATAAGGCTGATAGAAAGACAGTTACAAGTAGCAAGAGCCTAGCTAGGTCTCTCTTTCACCTTGATTTTCTTTGTATGTTAGCTGTTGGTCATCTCAGACCTTGCTTTTCAGGTGGCATCATTAAATGAGGTTAGTTTCTTATGAGGTGTGGATAGAGTATATATTTCCCATGTTCTTACCATTCAAGAGTGTGTAAGGTGGACCCTGTCAATATTTATGCTCTTCACTGAAAAAGTTACATTCCCAATACCCACATTTACACAAATTGGAAGGTCCTCTCCCATGCATAAGCATCATAACAGACACCATTATTGCAATAATGGGAAGACATTTTGCCATTTACCAGCATTAGGAGCAAGGAGGTACATTCTCTCTATATTCTGAGCAGATTCTTCCAAAAGATTCATGGAAAAATCACATACTGCATAGAAGAGTTATTGGTCTTTCTCAACTAATAACCAGCTTCTGGAAGGGGAAAAACATCTTAATTTACAAGTATGGTGACTCTCTATGCCCAAATACAATACAAAACAAATCGATTCAGTTTCCTCAGACTGCAGCTTGTCATTTTAGTTATGGCAGCCTTAAATATTTCAGGAAAAGAAAAATCCTTATATCTTTGTACGGGATGATTTATCCTCCTTAATCACTTAGTATATTATGTTTTGTTCTTTTCAGTGTGAACAGTGCATCAAGTAGCTTGTTATTTGATATCATGTCTCTGCATTTGTATATTTGTAATTATTTATGAATTCACTGTTTTATCCATTCTTTACATGCTGTGTCCTTAATAGGTACAGATGTTCATCAGTCACTCAGCCAGGCATCAGGAGACTTAGGAAAAGGTATTATATGTCTCCAAGGGTTAACCTTTTTTAGGTGTCTCAATTTTTATTGAGAAAATTTGCGTTAGTCTGTGGCTATTTCTTTGAGAAAAGTACATGGTACATAATTTAGTTGTAACCCTAGGAAGGCTACTTGTAGAGATTGGATGTGGAAAATTGGGCTGTACTAGATAAGAAGAGTGATACTGTGCTGCAGATTGACCTTCCTGCCTGCAAGGGAGGGCTTGTCCTTTTTTTTCCTATGCTGCCCTCTCACATTAGTATAACTCCATCCTTGCAGAGCTACAGAGCTATTAGTGTCTCTCTCTTTCTTTCTTTTTTTTTTAGCAAAGTACAACATGGCATGGGGAGAAAACATGTACACCTTCCTCCTGTTCTCCCATGTTACTAACCTTGTTTGTTTTCTTCTGTGACAGCAGTTTCTCAGATTGCACATAGAGGGCACTTAAAGAGTCCTTTTCATATCTTTGTGTCCAGTGTACAAAGATCTGGCATTCAAGTGTGTGATAATGTTCTGGATGGGTAAACCCCATGTGTTCCAAAATTCGGCCCTTCACACATTCAAGCAAATGTTTGAATAATATTTGTGCATTCCTGGCAGCACATAAGAAGGAGAGCTAGGGACTTCCGGCTTGACGCTGCAACAAGACAGCAGCAGAAGGATGGAGCTCCATCCCCTGGGCTGAATTCTGACCTCCAGGGAGTTAAAACCACACCAAATAGGTGGTGAAATGGGGGAGAAGCCTGTTGATCATGGGGGGGGCAGCGGTTACCCATGTTTGATCCAGGAAACTCCCCAATCAACCAGTGGGCGGAAACAAGCAGCTGAATTAGTTTGCTTGCAAGTTGTCGGCAGCCGGCAAAAGAAAAAGTGATAAATCAGCCAATTTAACATCATCATTAGCACTGGGTGAGATACAAAACCTGAACTATAGTGCTGTTTGACTATCCCTGGATAGAATAATCCCCTTAACAGAAAAAAAGGTGTCTCTTAGCCCCACCACTAAATTGAACAGCGGTGGATCTGGAGAAGGGGAAAGAGATGCAAAGGGACACAAAGAAAATAAATTAGACATTAATTAAACATGCATGATCAGAAAAGGCTCTATCTCTTAGCACACATCCACTCAACCTGACCCAGTGAATCAAAATACTGTCTTCCCTTTCTACTTTCATGCCCAGTTATGGACACTTGCTTACTAATTACATATTCTCTCTCTTCCTTCTCAAGCCCCCTGTTGTTTTTTTAACTAAACCATTTCCAGTTCTGTCCTCAGTGCTGTGGAAATATCATCCATCTGCTATTATGTGTTCATGATCAGCCTTACATAGACCCATCATTCCTGGGGAAGGTTTAAGATATGACCCATCTCACTTCTTTAATAAGTAATAAACTGTTTCTTGATCTTTCCTCAACTTTATTTAGCTGCTAAGAATATGCAACAATGCATCAATAAGTTATTTAATGTTTTGAAAGAAACTTTATGTTCAGTGATTCTGTAAAATAACACGTGAGCTCTAAACGTTCTATAGTTCAAAAATATTTTGTGTAGAAGATTTGTATAAAAATGGTTTCTTAGTCATTCTTGTGACTTTTGCTTTTCTTTTTATGTGTTTATACAGAAACATGCATTAATGACCATTCTTCTGGAGATTCACTAAGGTAAGATCAAATAATGACAATAATTGAGGGATTTCTGTTGAGCTGGAAATAGGTTTTATTCTTTCTCTCTTTTTCTCTATGTTTGTTTAAGAGATTCTGGAGAAACAGACAATGATTCCTCGTTTTCTTCAGAAGAATTAGACTTGAATCCTAAGGTAATATTTTGAACTTCATAGATTGTGAATTTCCATGAGTGAGGATGATATTTCTTAAATCTGACTGGTACCAGTTATGATGATATGCTCTGGAGGCAGATACTCCTGAACGATTTCCTGTCACTACTTCACAGTTTTCTTTTAGTGCTTTTGTCAGATGTCTGGGGTTTTTCTTTAAACCAGCAACAATTTCAACAGTGTTCTTCTTGAGTAAACGTTGTTACCTAAAAAAAGGAATGCATAAGGTCACTCTCCAAAACCCCAGCAGCTGCTTCTAATATGAACAGTTTGGGCAATAATGTGTAACATGCTTAAATCACCAAATCATCTGTTCTCTTTAAGGTAATAACTTTATGGTGGGCTCTTGAAGTAACCGTATCTTTCCTAGGTGAATGAGAGGTTGGTGGCACTGTGCTGAGCTGGTTTTCAGGGCTGGTTGTCTGGAAGACCGCTTCTCTAGTATCATGCTAGGAAGGCATTGCTGTGTGGTTAAATCTTGATTCCCATGATCTGAAATCTCAAGGCAGTCAGAGGTTGAGCTTGGGTTATGCTCATAACACCTGGCTCTGTAATCTCTCTAACACTATATCCAGATGAGGAAGTAGAGGTTCCAAACAGACTTTGGAGACTTTGACAAGTTTTGAGTCAATTAAATGAAATTCAGGTCTGATAAGATTAAAGTACTGGAGACTAGAAACGGGCAGATTCTCAAGGCATTTGCATCGAACTATCGTGTTCTCTTCTTTGGAGTGCTGTTAGATAACAGTCCTGTGGAGGGACAAGGAGAGGTCATTTGACAATAACCATGGCTTAACTACCTGTGGTGGATCAGATTCCCAAAAGCTACATGATCCAATATCATATAGCAAGTGTGTAGGTTGGGTGTGTTGGGTGATGAAGGAAACCCCATCATCAAATCTAAGAACAGTCCATTTCCATCCTCTAGAAATAAAACTCTTCAATTTTTAATATATATTCTTAATATATTATTAATACATGTGTTGTTATGTTACCTTATTAATACTGAGATAGCATGTTATTTCTGGCTGGCATTCCCCGCTGTGCCTCCTGGCAGAAGGGCCAGCCTGTGCAACCTTGGGCAACCTCCGTAGTCCCAGAGCAAGAAGGGCCAGCCTGTGCAGCCTTGGGCAACCTCCATAGTCCCAGAGCGTTCCCTGAAGAAGGCCATGACTGAAATCCAGTAATGTAAAGTTATGCTGCATAAGCCACAAATGTCTTTTGTCTATAAAAAGGCTTTTATTTCCCCGCCTCAGGATTCCTAGGCTGCTTTGGGATCACTTTGGTCCTGAGGGGCAGCAGGAGGGGGATGGGGACCAGTGCCAGATATCAGAAGCTGAACATGTTTCATCACTATAATCGCTTTCAGAAGTCATGCTAAACCGGCTAAATTTTGGGCTTGTGCACATTGTTTCTCCTTTTTCTATGGAGGAGGTCAGAAGCACTGGCTTTCATTAACTTATTAACTTTTTCTACTATTACATTGGTTGTACCTTTAGGAGTTAAATAAAATTTGGACATTCCTCTCCTGTAGTGAAACAAAATGCAGATATCAAAGCCAGTATCCTCCTCACTCTTACCACTTGCACAACGGGCCATTGAGTGCGTGATTGTACTCTTATAGTGTGTGAAAGCGGGCATTCTCTAGCCACTTGCACAAGCAGAACTGCTGTTTTAAATGAGGTGATCTCCATTTGTGCTATGGCAAGCTGGAGATTGTGTGGGAGTGCAATGGAGAGGGTATGCTCCACCTTCTCAAAGCAGCACACTACCAAAAATTACAAAAAGGTGAGCGAACAATCTAAGACTCAAATTGGGAGCTTCTGGCATTTACTGTCTTGTATTCAAAGTTCTGCAATGAATTTGCTCAAAATTTTTCAGTTAATAACTAGGCTTAAACAATACATTTTTGTATCATTGGTCCTAATAGAATATTAGACAGAAAGGCCCAAGTTCTGATCCCCAGTTGTGATGCTTACTGGATTACCTTGGGCCTGTCACAGTCTCTGAGCCTAACTCATTTCCCGTGTTACTTGTGGGATAAAATGGGAAGAATTGGCACATGCATCAGCCTAAGCTCATCCATTATTCTCAGTGCTAGATCTTAATTTAAAATGTTTCCTTTCAGAACCCACAGAAACTACGTGTTCCTCAGCTAAAACACATTTTCCTGATAATCAAGAAATATTGTAAGTTGCTTGACAAACAGATTCATTATATATCTTTAAAAGATATTTTAAAAGATAAAATTGCTTTCTTTCCTCCCTAATTTGGGGAGGGGGGGTGTTTTGTGTTTTGCAAAGTAGATTAGAAAAGTAACACATTCAGTGTGAGACATGTACCTAGTTCAGTATAAACCAAATACATTTGTGAAGCTGAAGATGTCACTGAATCCCTTTCTAAGCGTGTGATCACATGGGCATATAGTTTGCATTTTGGAATGCTTGTGGCACAGCTCAATGCAAACCATTTCCCAGCCATGACACAATGTATGGGAGAAAGCATTCCATTCTGATCCCATTCCATGCCCAAACCGGATCCTTTTGATCCAGCAGGAGAGCTACTACTTTGCAGGGCAGGGGTGCAGTGATTCCCTGATAGAAAGAAGGGTCACTTTAAGGGAGATCACTCACAGGAAAGTGACCCTTTCCAGTGCAATCAGACATATACTTTTCTCACTGTCATATTGCACCCTAAGCAATATTACAATTACGAGTGGTCGTAATTGACCAGATAGGCGGGATATAAATAGAATAAAATAAATAAATAAACCCTTCCCTCAACTTGTCCGTTCCTCCCTTGGTTCCTTTTCCAAATGTTCCCAGAAGACTTCTCAGATATAAAAAAAATAAAATAAATAAATAAACAAGCAAACCCTTCCCTTAGCTTGTCCATTCCTTCCTTGGTTCCTTTTCCAAATGTTGAGCTCTCAACATATAATGCTTTTTATTCATAAGTTTAATTCAATCACATGACTTGTGTCTTTTTTTATGCCCACATATGATTTTTTTTTTAAGACGGTGAACAAGAAATTAATCAGTCATTGGAAGAAAACATCAGTGCAGGACTTCAGAAAACCATTTATCCTACTAAAAAAGAAAAGTATGATTCAGATGAGTCTTCCGTGAGCTACAAAGAAGAAGAAGAATTTGACAAAGAGGGCAAGGAGGAAGAAGAGGAAGAAGGAGGAGATGGAAATAAAGAAGAGAAGGAAGAAGAGGAAGAGGAGGATTTCAGTAAAGAAACGAGAGACGAAAACATGAAAGAAAGTCAGGGGAAGATAGAAAATGGAGAGGAAGAATATTTCGAGAAGGTGGAAAAGAGAGAAAGTTTCACAGATAATGAATGTGAGCAGGAAAGAGATCTTTCCAGTACTGATACAGGAGACTGCAATGCACAAGATAAAGAAATTCAGGAAGCAGGTGAGATGCCTGTGTCTTTTATTGCCAGGCATTCTGAATGTTCAGATGAAAATGCAGCTATTAACAAAGTAAATTATGAGCTATCCAGTGATTCATTCGACAAGGAAAACAGTTACAAATATGACCATCAATTTCTGAATACAAATGGCTCCCAAGGCACTGAGAATAATAACATAATTGCTTATGAGAATCAAAAGAGATTTCACAGAAATATTATTTCTTCAGTGGATACTTTCGAAATGACAACATTAGCAGGGGCTGCACTTCCATCTGTCGTGAACAGCCATGCTAACAAGGATACGGATTCCGATTGGAGTTATTCTACAGAAGATTATAACCATCAGTCAGATACAGAATGTGAAGATCACAAAATTATGCAACAAAGTTCTGAGAATTCTGATATTGTGGGTTATCAAAATACCAGAGGCAAACAATGCATGAATGCAAAAGAACTGGGAGAAGCCATATGTGAACAACTGGTACTCAAAAATGAAAATAACAAGGAAGAAGATCCAAAGGTTTTTCAATCAGAGCTCAAAGTAAGTCAATCCAGTGTGATAGAAGAATTGAACCAATAAGGTAAAACAAAAGGTGAAAGATAAGATTAGACATTATTTATCAAATCATAAATAAAAGACTAGTGAAATCAGTGTCTGATATTTTTGTTATATATACATAAGCAAAGGTTAGATTACTGGCAAGACACTGGTCATATCTTACCACTTTAATGCTAAACAAAATCCTTACCCATTCCCAGTTTATTTCCAATCACAATTCTAGTCTCTAGCTTGAGACTTGAATATTTTCAGGATCATCTTTTCCAGTATGGACTAACTGAGTCCTTTTGCCTTATTTCTGTGATCTTTCTCAACGTGTTATTACCAGTATTTATCATATATATGGAGAGTTGGAGAGTTTTTACTTGTGGATTGGTCTGAACACCGTGACAGTTCATAAAATAATGTCAATAACCTATTATTGTAGAAATAATTTACAATTTCCTACAGTGTCCATTGTATAGTAAAGGATTGGTTTATTCTACAGTGCTGTGACAATATTCTGATATTGTGTTGAATAAATGATAGGAAGGCATATTTTGTGTTACTTATAGCACAATCCTGTGGCACATGCTTAGAAGTAGGTCTTATTGAATTCATTGCAGTTTACTTCTAAGTAAGTGTGTACAGAATTGTCCTATGCTGTACAGAACTTGCCTGAAGATAGATTGGGATGTTGCATTAGAAATGACAATGCAAATTATTGACTTGGTTCTTTAACTTAGGAAGACTCTTCAGAAGAAGTGGAAAAAGGAGATAACAAAGAAGAAGATGGAAAAAATCCAAATGTTGTGGATAAAAAAATGATTTCGTATAGAAGCTCTCAACATCAGATTTTCTTGCAAGATGACATTGTTAGAAAGGGTATGGATATATAATTTTACTGATCCCATAGTACAAATTAGAGGCCTAGTGCCTCATTGAAATATTTAGTCTCTAGTAATTCAGATAAACTTGTTGCAAGCGTAAGGAAATCAGCAAAGACTGTTTCGTGGATTAGCACTATTCTAACAGCAGAATCCAAAGCATCTTGAATCACAAGTAAATTCTACTGTGTTGGCAATTTGGTGAATACCATGGAATACTGCACTGATTTTTAAAATAAATTTCATAAGAAAAAGCCATTAAATGTTTTTAATGGGTTGATTGTTTGCTATGGGACTACAGTTGAATTCTGTTATTCTGATTCTGCAGAGTTTTAGATTTATCCTTCAAGTTCTGCTAAATATATGAAGTTGGAGCAAGCATTAGAGTTAGTTTCTGAAAGTGCTAGAAGAGCAAAAACTAAGTAAATGACATTGTAAAAGAAGTATCCAACAAAAGGTAAATTGATTAGGTCCTATTCTGAATATTCAAGATTACTTGTTCACACATTTATAAAACAAAACAAATATTTTATTTGGAATATCATACAATGTCAATAGGACAAAATTGATACTCTTCTAGTTCCTCAGAGGGATTCCTGCATTCTGCCCACACTCTTGGAATGACACAGCTGACTTTAAACATACAGTATCTTTGCAGAGCTAGAGCATATCCTTTGCAATGGACCAATCACAATCTCTGTTTTTAAAAAAACATTAAATGTTGTATTAAGACAAACTAGACAGTCTCATCCAATCCACATTTTTGTAACCATATTTATGTTAGGAATGGATGAAGAGGAGGAGGAGGAAAAGGACACCGAATCTCCTTGTATTTCAGAGGTAGGCTACTTTTCATATTACTATTTAGTAAGAGCATTGAAGAAAACATTTTGCATTCTCTAAGATTCTTCCTGATTTCAGTTGTCAGCTGGATGTCTCTTGAAGGTTATACTTTTGTGTTACCCACAGTTAAAGGAGATTGGAAGATCATGGATATTTTATTTTTGCTACATATAGATCATCTTAGTTCCTTTTATTGAAAGTTTAAAGTTAAGCAAGACCTGTATCTGTCTTATGATTTTTTTTTCCAACAGAAGACTTCAGAAAGCCCCCAAAAGCCAGCTATGGGTTCCTTACCAGCATCTCCTGCCACAATTAAAACACCAGGGCACAGTATTACAGAAGAGATAAGTGGTCGTATGTTTTTCATAAATACTCTTCTGTCCAATTTATTTTCCTTTTACTCTTTTCCTGATTTACATATATTTCACAAATTTTCTAAATCTTTAGATATGAACTGAAATCTTTAGATATATATACTGAAACTCTGTTGCTGAAACATACATTGTATATGGATGATGATGTCGTCTCCAACAGTGATTTTTCAGCAATAAACCATTTCTGACTTCTCTCCTGAAACTCGAGATTTCCATGTAATCTCTTTCATCACTGAGAAACCCTGAAGCCTTGGAATAGGAGGAGAGAGTCTTTAATTACCGAAAGTCACTGACACTGGGAAGAATTTAACAATGGCAACCATTTTTGGTAATTAAAGACTTTTCCCCTCCCAGCCTGCTGTTTCCACAGGTTCCTGGCAAGGAAAAAGAGTACACGGGAGTTTCAGAATAAAAGTTGGAAGTGTTTGAGTTCTGAAAAATTTCTGCGACTGACAATGTTTTTGGCCTTACATGGCATAACTTATGACAACAGGTTTTCGGCCATAAAATATGTAGAATATTATATAAGAATATTTGATATCGGAAGTGTTTGAGTTCTGAAAAATTTCTGCAGCTGACAATGTTTTTAGCCTTACATGGCATAACTTATGGCAACAGGTTTTCAGCCATAAAATATGTAGAATACTATATAAGAACATTTGATATTATCTTCATAAAGTTTAACAGTTTATTTTATCATTTTATTAACATGGGAACAAGCTCCTCAAGTAGGTGTCATTACAAAATCTTTGACAAGCATTTCTGTATATAAATTTCCCTAGAAATTGGGGTCATCATTTTGAGTGGTGCTCTCTCTGTTACATTGGCACAATTTAAACACAACCTTACCTATCATCTATGGCTCCCATATATTATCCTAAGAATCTACGTTAATGCCTTATACAGTGGTGCCTCGCACTGCTCTCTCTGTTACATTGGCACAATTTAACCACAACCTTACCTATCATCTGTGGCTCCCATATATTGTCCTAAGAATCTAAGTTAATGCCTTAACAGTGGTGCCTCGCACAACCATGTTTAATGTGTTCCAGTGGCTTTTCCTGCCCCGTTCAACGAAGCTTTCACACAGCAAGGGTTAATCTGGAACGGATTAACCTCGCTGTGCGAGGCACCACTGTAATGTGTGATACACAGCCAAGGGTCTTTTTAAATACTATTATTTTTAACATGTCCGCAGATTTAAAAACAATGGCCAAACCTGGTGACAAAATCAGGCTTGCAAGAACAATCAGGCAGCATTCCCCCTCCAGTGCCCTGTCCTTCATGCAAAAGGATTTACTCAATCACGTGGATTCGATCTTACGACTGCTGGTCTTCTGACCCTGTGCTGCATGGTCAGAAGACCAGCAGTCGTAAGATTGAATCCATGTGACGGAGTGAGCTCCCATCGCTTTGTCCCAGCTCCTCGCCAGCCTAGCTGTTTGAAAGCATGTAAATGCGAGTAGATAAATAGGTACCACCTTGGTGGGAATGTAAAACGGCGTTCCCTAGTCATGCTGGCCACGTGACAATGGAAATTGTCTTCAGACAAGTGCTGGATCTACGGCTTGAAAAAACGGGATGAGCACCGCCCCCTAGAGTCAGACACGACTGGACTAAAAATGTCAAGGGGAACCTTTACCTTTACCTTTAGTGTGAAAAAGAGCCTGATGGGTAGGTGAGGGGAAATGGTTGCACAACTTCCTCTCGTGGTTGTCAGTGGTCTCCAGATGTTCTTGAACTGCAACTCCCAGAAATCCCGGCCAGCACAGCTAGTGATGAAGGTGTTTGGGAGCATTAGTCCAAGAACACCAGGGGACCCAAGGTGGGGAATCACTGCCCTAAGTGATTCTCGGCAAGGAAATATTTTCCAAAATGTTCAGCACAAGAAACAGCTATTTTTTTAAAAAAAGCTTAATGATTTTTTTTCTGCAAGTAATTTAACTCTCTTTTAATTCCTTAGGGAGCTCAGAGAAGATAAAGGTAAATACTGAACAGCAACAGCAGTGACATATTAATTTCAATGTTGTGATGTCTTATTTTCCAGAGGACTCACAGAGGGCATTCCATCTTTTGGGATGGCCTCTCTCTTTGCAGATTGTTTCCCTGGAGGGAGGGGCAGCCTGACCCTCCCAGATTGGCTCTATCTATTGAGACAAATGGTCAAGCTGGATTTATATTCTCAGCATTCCATTTCTCAAAAGCCTTTTTATCCACTATGTGAAAATGGGAAACAAACTGTTGAACAAAATTAGGAGACAAATGACAATTGCCTAACAATGCAGATGGCAGGAAAGTAAAGATAAGTGAATAAGAAAAGGACATATTTAGAAACAGATGTGGGTGAAAATACTGTAGCTCCAGGATTATTCAGTAGCACACACAGCTATCAAAGAGAGATTTAGAATGTGTCTCAGACAACTGAAAATGTACACATACATATTGATAGAGCAAAAGGACAAGTCAAGAAACTGTACATTCCTTTAGTGATACTGATAGTGAATTTTTCATACTGAAATTGGAAATCAAATGAAATATTTTGAACAAACGTCTAAGAAAGAACTGCATGAGGAATTAGAATGTGATGTTGTATGAATTAAGAATGGGATAGGAATATTCCAGATCATGTTTCTAGGTTTGGTAAAAGAAAAGGTCCAGCTGCAAAAAAAGAAATACCTACTGGTTTTCATTCTTTTATCTGCCTCACACCTCAACCATCATGTTCATTTCAGCTCTTCAACATTTCACGGAAAGGCTGCTTTCAATTTCAGCTTTATGCAAGGCTTCTAAAGTAAATCAGGATAGAATGTACTACATTTTTTGTTATTCTGTTCTGTGCTAAGTGGTGATTTTAAGAAATCTATACCTAGAATTAAATATATATTCTTATAACTACCACCTAACACAGAATGAAAAAAAAATATTCTGCAAATAGCTCAAGATCTAAATAGGCTTATATACTGGTGATGCATCTGTTAGAAATGTGAGTGTGGCTTTTGAACAAGAGATTGATTGATCATTTCATTTATTCTCATTCTTACTTACTGCTCTTCACATTGCTATATGAAACATTTCTCCCTCATCAGATTTATTTTCTTTAATACAATATTGTGAATTCCTTAACTGTAAAGACTCCTTTAAAAGTATCTATTGTCTTTACAGTTAATAAATAGATTTTTCCATTACCTCCCATTATATAATATTAATCTTTATTAACCTCCACCTTCAGTAGTAAGTTTTCCCCCCCCAAGGGTGAAAATGTTTGTATTTTGGAAGAAATACAAATTTTTAAAAAAGTAACTCCTTATATGATTATTGATATTGTTATTGGCCTTCTGACAGAAAATTCAATGTCATTGTTTTAGTTTAAGGAAAAAGGAGATGAAGAGTTGGAAGCAAAAAAAGAAGCCAATATTGAAAAAATGTTGACTGCAAATGTTGAACAGAAAATAGAACAAAAGCTGCCAGTGCAACATAATGAAGCAGAAGATGAAATGGAAGGTGCAATAGTGGAAGAACGCCAAGTAACAAACCTAATTTCTTCATCATACAGAGAGGTGCTTCTTCCAATTTCTCAAAAAGGGTAAGTTTGTATTATAAGGTTAATCTGTGTGTTTTCAATGTTAGCCAATGTGCCTCAATAATTTTTTTCACTGGATTATATTAACATTTACAGAAATGTTTCTTCAGTTGTAATTGGGAGTTTATTTGATGCACAGTATTTATGTGAATATAATCCTTACTCAGTAAAGAATGTAAAAAGCTATCTTGTACCAAGTCAGAGTGCTGCTCCAGTATCATTCACATTGCTTGGTAGCAATTCTCTAGGATTATAGCCAGAGTTCTTCATAGCCCTGTTGGAGATGCTACAGATTGAAATTAGGGTCTGTTACATGCAAAATATGTGGGCTTTCCTTGAGCTACAGTCATTCCTATAATGTGCAAATAGCAATCCAACTAGTATAGGATAAACATGCTCCTATGTTTAGCACAAATTACTTCCAGTTTCTCCAGCACTGTAGCCGCACCTATCTGAAATTTCTCCATTAATTTTGTGTAATTTGTGGGGTACCACTACCATCTGTGGACTACCTTCAAAACCTTTTCTTTCGCTTTGACTGATATTGATTTATATGGATATGTAGTCCATGTTTCCATCCATTCTTTCTCTGATATATTGATATTCAAATTAGTTTCCCATGTTATTTTAGATCCCATACCCCCTGGGAAATGCTTTCTCAACCAAATGTTTATATATTACTGAAGTTATTCCCTTCCTTTTATTTTGATCTTTTTCTATACTATATTGTTCTAGTTCCACAAGCGTTCTCATAGGTCTGGAACTTTGGTATATTTGAGTTGTCAAATTTCTTACCTGTATTAATTGTAGCCAATTAGTTTTTATTTCCTTTGTTTTGTCCTCTAACTGTCTAATTGTTATTGGTTTCCCAGCGTCAAATAGGTCTCTTATTCTATAAATTCCAACTCTTTTCCAATGTTTTAATTGTACATATTTCTCTCTTGATTTAAATTTTGGATAATCCAGCATAGGGCATGGAGGGGATATAGGTGGAACAAATAATCTCATGTATTTACACCATATTTTCAATGTCTCACAATTATAATGATTTTGCACTTGCTCCTTCTTTCTAATTGGTTCCAGTCCATAAATATAAGTTTATATACGGACAAAAGAAATCCCAGATTGGGTTAAAATGGAAAGAGATGAGGATAATGGTTTAGTTAACACTTATATTTATACACCTTATTCTAAAGGAGAATTGTGCTCACAAAAGCATATTTATTTTCCAGAGCGGGGTGTGTGCTGACCGCCCACCTGATTTTAACCTAGAAATGTAGGATTTTCAAACTTCTGCTATAGAATTTTGCTGACATGTGGTAGGGCGATGGGTTGTTTGCAAGAAGTTTCAGAAATATGTGAATAGATGCTATTGAAGCAATAAATCTATATGTATCTGCCTTCTTTTGAAAACCTCATTTTAAAAGTGGTATAGTCTTCTACAAACTGCTCCTAGTCTGCAAGTCAAACCTAAATTTTGCGGCCAGAGAAGTCTGTAACTCAAAAAGTCTGTAAGTCAAGCCGTCTGTAAGTCAAGGGTCCACTGTAGGATTTTCAAACTTCTGTTATAGAATTTTGCTGGCATGTGGTAGGGCCATGGGTTGTTTGCAAGACGTTTCAGAAATATGTGAATAGATGCTATTGAAGCAATAAATCTTTATGTATCTGCCTTCTTTTGAAAACCTCATTTTAAAAGTGGTATAGTCTTCTACAAACTGCTCCTCTTCCAGATGAACAGATCATATTTTCTCTTTTGCTTCATTCCAGTATCCATGAGAAATCGAGTAAGATTTCCCAGATGCACACTGCTGTATTTCACAGTGTGTATCATCACTGAGATAATGATGCACACTGTTGTATTTAATAAGCTCTAGTTCTGTTTTTTATGGTGATCTTAAGTTCAACAAACCTCAAGGGACAAGTGCATGCATGTAACTTTGCCATTCCTGACATGGTGTGGCTTCATGTGTTCCTGATATGAGACATCTAACATGTATACTTTTGTTTTGTGGTGGGTTGTTTTTTGTTTGTTTGTTTGTTGTTGTTTTGTCTTACCTCTTTCTGAGGTAACCCGATTTTAAAAAAATAATCTGATAGAGTGCTGTGTTTTCTTTCATTTGGGAACTAGTCTGACTACCAGTGTAACAGAAATAAGAAAAAGTGAAAATATGCATCAGATTTCAACCAAAAGAGTCAGTCAGCAAGTAACTGGGCAACTACATCAGCTTCAAGATGATAGCAGCATAAGTGAAGCACTTCCAGAGGAAGGAAGGTATGGATAGTCATAGAATCATAAAATAACTGAGTTGGAAGGGGCCTATAAGGCCATTTAGTCTAACCTCCTATGGTTAAGAACCACTGATTTAGTCTAACCTCCTACTCAGTGCAGGGCTCCAAATCAAAGCAGATCTGACAGATGGTTGTCCAATTTTCTCTTGAATGTTGTACTACTGTAACAGTTATTCAGCCTAAATCTCACTTCCTGTAACTTGAACCCATTACAACATGTTCTGCACTCTGGGATGATCAAGATACTGTTTCTTCTTAATTCATTATTTAAAGAGTTACCACTTGTAGAATAAGCCCAAGATGTATTTAGTGAGTTCCTAGTCTCTTCATTGGCCAGTGTTTTCTAAGTTCTTGGACATAAGCCTTTCCCATCAAATGGCAATAACTGATTGCATGTTGAAATGCTGTAAGTAAGCACCTGTGATAGCTGTTCAGAATCTGTTGTCCCCCATTATGGACATAGAGAATGAATTTCTACCCTCATGCCTCACAAGTGGTTTTGTGCTTTCTCACCTTATTGGGTGTGAGATGCATACTGCTATATTTCACCATAAGGGCCACATTATTGAGATAATGATACACATTGGCTGGAATTCTGTATGTCACCATGCAACATAAAGTTATGCAGGTGTAACCTTGTCAGGCAATATGCCCCAGTAATAAGATGGAGACAGCAGCCCCGAAATTAAAAGACGCCTGCTTCTTGGGAGGAAAGCGATGACAAACCTGGACAGCATCTTAAAAAGCAGAGACATCACCTTGCCAACAAAAGTCCGAATAGTCAAAGCTATGGTTTTTCCTGTCATGATGTATGGAAGTGAGAGCTGGACCATAAAGAAAGCAGACCGCCGAAGAATTGATGCCTTTGAATTGTGGTGAAGGAGGAGGCTCTTGAGAGTCCCCTGGACTGCATGGAGAACAAACCTATCAATTCTAAAGGAAATCAACCCTGAGTGATCACTGGAAGGACAGATCATGAAGCTGAGTCTCCAGTACTTTAGCCATCTCATGAGAAGAGAAGACTCCTTGGAAAAGACCTTGATGTTAGGAAAGTGTGACGGCAAGAGGAGAAGGGGACGACAGAGGATGAGATGGCTGGACAGTGTCTGCGAAGCAGGCAACATGAATTTGTCACAACTCCAGGAGGCAGTGGAAGATAGGAGGGCCTGGCGTGCTCTGGTCCATGGGGTCACAAAGAGTCGGACACGACTAAACGACTAGACGGCGACAACGAATAAGGTTTATGTGAGTCAGTCGAACACGACTAAACGACTAGACGACAACAACGAATAAGGTTTACAGTATGTGAGTCAATTGCACAATAAGTCATATGGTTCACCTCCTGCCCAATTGTACTTTGTGAAAAACACTTCTGCTTTGGCACTGCTTCAGCTACCACTAGCATAACACTTAGGTATTTAACATAATGTTGAATTACAGAAGTGTAGTTATTCAGTAGGATTTCAGCCAATGTTCTAGTTTGTAGCTTCCAGTTCTATTTTTCACAATGAAGTTTGGCAAACAACTCCATGCACATAATTTTGTCATCCTTGACTTTGAAGATGTGTTCTTGATATGAGATATCTGTCCCATTTGTACACACACACACACACACACACACACACACAAGAAAGAGAGAGAGAGAGAGAGAGAGAGAATTTGGGCACTTTTCTTATTCTGTGTTACCTCTTTGTGAGGTAAACACATACTAAAAGATTAACCTGATAGTTGTTGTTTTTTAAGTGCTATATTTTCTTTTGTTTGGGAACTGTTTCAACTGTCAGTGTGAAGGATGTAAGAAAAAGTGAAAATAGAAGTCAGATTTCAATGGAAAAAGTCAGCAAACACTGAGAAACTACATCAGTTACAGGATGATAGCAGTTTGAATGAAACATCTTGAGAAGAGGAAAAGTATGGATGGTCATAATATTGTTTGTTCTTAACTAAATACATTAAGAGTTGCCTCATGTAGAACAAACACATAATGTATTCAGTGAGTTCTAGGTGTTCTCTCTGTCCAGTCCTCTCCAAGTTCTTGGACATAGGCCTTTCCTGTTATATCACAATATGTGATTGTATGTTGAAATGGATTAATCAATTGTAGTAGCTGTTCAGAACCTGTTTTGTCAGGTGGTGGACATAAAGAATTAATTTAAATTCTCATGCCTCAGGAGTTCTCACTTTACTGGGGGTCAAATATATACTGCTGTATTTCCCAAAGGGGACCGTGCTGTTGGAATAAGGATAGACACTGGCCAGAATCCTGTTATGTCACCTCATAACATAAAGTTAGGGAGATGGAGCTTTCCTGTATGTTGTACCCTGGCAGCAAGGGCTGCGTGAGCTGATTGAGCAATCAGTTACATGGTTCCCATCCTGAAGAATTTTTCAATCCATCTGTGGAAGCGCTTTGGGAATAGCACTTCCACCTTGTCTCTGTTGTAGCTACCACTTGAATTATGCACGTGTAACTACTCAATAGGATTCCAATTGCTGGTTTATTTAGCAGCATCTAGTTCTATTATACACAGTTTTTTTCAGCAAACCTCCAGAGATAACTCAATACACATAACTTTGACATCCTGAACTTCAATGTGACTTCATATGTTCTTGATATGAGACATCTTCTCTCCCCCCCCCCAATTTAATCACTTTTGTTTTTCTCTGTTGCTTCTTTTTGAGGTAACCTAGTATTAAGAGATAGACCTGACAGTTTTGTTTTTCTTCTTTGTTGTTGTTTGCAAATTTGTTTTTCTTTCCTTTGGGAACTAATCTGACTGCCAGTATGATGGATATAACAAAAAGTAAAAATAAAGGACAGATTTCAATCCAAAGAGTCAGTCAGCATATCATTGAGAAGCTTCATCAGCTAGAGGATGATAGCAGTTTGAGTGAAGTATGTCTGAAAGAAGAAAGGTATGGATAGTCATGATATTGTTTTTTCTTAATTATGTACAGAATTGGCTTGTGTAGAACAATTCAATGATCCACTTATTTAATCCTGTGCATTATCACCACCTGGTTCTCTCTAAGTCCTTTCCTATTATATGGCAACTCTGGCAGCTATCTATAACATGTTTTGCCCTATTGTGGACATACAGTAATGAATGAGTTTTAACCCTCATGCCTCAGGAGTTGCTTGGTGTTTTCTGACACCATTGGAATGTCAATGAATTGTTAGAAGTTGGGTTAGCATTGTGGTTAGGTGTGGCTGGGTCTAATGTATATATTTTTTTGTTTCTCAAACCCACTGAGAATGTCACTGATCTTCACCCCGCCATCCTTTCTGCAACTCATTCAGACATGAAAACCATGTGTATGTGAAGATGGACATCCCAGTAAAGTTGCGAATTTTCCAGTCCAGTACATTAACACCTTATCTCAACACTTGGAGTATTGTCACTGCTGACACAAGGGTCCTTTCCATCATAGCACATGACATGGCATAAAGTTCACCTTTCTTTCTATTGGAGGTTTCTATGCAACAGGGCCAATGCTAAATATTCTGAGTGCACAGGAAGCATGAGTACTGCTCAGTATAGCAAAAAAAAAACTTCTAACCTTAATGCTTCAGCTCTTCTATTTCCAAAACATCTCATTATCTTCCCTCACTCTCCATCTCAGCTGGCTATCTTAATCTACCCAACTCCCTGACTCTGGCATTTACTTCTGTCACCTCCTGTGGTAACCAGCCACATTCGCTTCATTCTGCCTGGGCACTCTCGCGTGAGGTTTACTACATGCCCTGCCTTTCTAATGCAAATTCATCCTGACATTCCTATTTTGTTCATGCAAAAATTATGCAACTCTGGTAGGGGCCTAAAATCAAGGCAGAGTATGCAGTCCTGGAAATTTTCACAGGTGTGTCCACAGGTTCCCCTCATGTATCCTGAATTCAAATAATGGTCATTAACTCACCATTCTTGATGCTGGACCCTGCACCCTTGGTTCTGCAAGAACCTCTTCCAGCTTTCTCTCTTTCTTAAGGACTTGCTACAGTAAGTGGAAGGGGTAGAACTTTCATTTAAAAAAGAAATGGAAAAACAGAAAGTATGTTCTATTTTTTAGGTTCTTTCATCAGTTCCCCAAAAGAAAGCATCTTAACCGGTAAGGATCCATTTAAAAGAAATAAGAATACACTGACTTTTCATGTTTTTTTTTGTGTGTGGCCCTCTTTTGTTACACTTTTCTTTCACCCTTTATCTGTTAAATTGCCAGGAAAAATTTTGAGCCAATAAAATTGTACAGGCTGCTGTTAGAGTGGTCTTATAGACCAGATGGGCGGGGTACAAATAAAATCAAATAACTAAATAACTAAATAAATAAATAAATAAATAAATAATCAATCAATCAATCAATCAATCAAAATTCCTTTATCCTCACTCTTCTGCAAAAGTTCAACCAAGCATGGGTGTCAACTCCTCCTTGAGGGCCACCAGCCAGCCCTGTAGGTTGAAGCTCTTGCCACTGAGTAGAAAGCAGAAACCCACCAAAAGGAGTAAGAAAATAAGAGAAAGGATGATGAATTTCCATAGCTGAGCAGCAATTTGAACCAGGTCTCCTTATATGGCACCCTATCTGTTATACCACAATGGCTCTCAAACTCAGTATATCAATAGCATCATTTAACCTTAAAGAAGACTTGCTATTGTAGCCCCTTCTCATCTCTGTCTCCATCCCAGCTGCCCCCCTGACTGATGTTAAGTCCCTCCCTGTCCATTTAGTCTCCTGGCTAATCAGCCACACATATTCCATTCTATCTATTATTCCAATACCAACTGCCTGTATTATCATCAAAATATACAGACTTCTAAGCAAAGATGATGAACCTGTTGTCTTTCAATATTTTTGGATCTAAGCTGTTCCTGTACCTCATTCCACTGCATGGTTTGCTCTTGCTTCTTGATTTCTTTTTTTCTTAAACTACAACACAGACATAAAATACATAAACCAAAATACAAATCGACTGTGTTCCCCACCACCATAGTCGGGACCTCTTGCAGTAATCCTCTTCTTCCTCTATCTTTATTCTTCTTCTTACTTTATTGTCCTCTTCTCCAGAACTGCATTGATTCTTGATTTGGAGCTTTCCCTTTTCCTCTTGTTAGCACATATTCAAGAAATCTGCCCCATATATCATAGAAATTTCTTTTTTTCGTCTCTCCTTTCTTAATCTTTAAGTTACAAGTTAACTTATCATTTATACCAATGTTCCATATTTCATTATACCATTCTTCCATTCGAAATACAGACTTTGATTTCCAGTTCCTAGCTAGTATTAATTTGTCTGCTGTTAATAAATTGGTAATCATTTCTCTAGTCATCTTATCATATTCCACATTCTCAAATATTGATAACAGAGCTATCTCAGGATTAAATTCTATATCTTTTTCACATATGTCATTTAGATCTTTAAAGATTAGTTTCCATAATCTTTGTACTTTTTCACATTCCCACCACATATGAAAATATGCACCAATTTCCTTCTCATATTTCCTACAGACATTCAGATAGCTAGCATTAATTTTATTTAATTTTATTGCTGTTAAATACCATCTTAAACCCAATTTGAAAAAAAAATTCTCTTCTGGTCATGAAATGACAAATTTATTCACCATATGCCAACATTTTTTCCAATATTTTAGTAATACTTGCCAGTTTAACCTTTTCGACACTTGGAAGCTGTCTATTTCAAACTAAAAAGGAAGAAGGAAGGGAAACACATACACGATCCTTGCAGCCTAGATTTTATGGGACAGAGGAGACTCCAGACAAACTGGAGGCACTTGGGAGGGAGAATCATGTGTAAATTCCAAGATAAATGATAAGTCACCAAAATGGAAAACAGTTTGAAAAAATGCTGCAATCTATAGAGATATTACTTCCATTGACTTTGCTGGCTGAGACAGATGGGAGGCAGGACTGTAACATTATTTGGAGGGCCAGCCCTACTTTTAGCCAACCATGTGAAATCCATCCATCTCAGTTCATTTTAAACCAGTTGCCAATGGCTGACTTACATTTCCAACATGTCCTGGTTCTCACCCCTATTTAGAGTCCATGGGTAGTGAGTTTATCAACATTACACTTGTTTCTTCTAACAGTCTCTTCATCACATCTGTTCTTAGAAGCCTGCTCATATGTAGATCCCAAAATGTTGTCTGTCAATTGTTTTTGTTTTCAGCAAACCTTGCACAGTTCATTGATTGTGGTCATAGATATTGTTCTGCAGCTGTAGACCCTTCCACATACATAACAGTCCAGTACATAAGCCATAGAACACGGGGTGACAATCGCATTCCATAAGCATGTTTTTAAAATGTTGCATCCCAGATTTTGTTTAAAGCAAGAGGAAGAAAAGTGGATATATGCTGAAATGTTGAAAACCCAAGAACAGTTAAGAAAGAAAGAGCTGCAATATTGTAAACTGTTGGAGGAGAAACAGCAACTTGAGTTTATGCTGAGAAGTATGAAAATGGAATTGAAAATACTGAAAAACCACCTGAAACAGGTTAGATTAAATTAGAAAATATTTTCATGAAAAGTACCTCTGCCACATTTGGCGAAGGATGGAGGAATTTTCCCCCTCCCCATTCCAGGGTTGTTTTTTAGAAAATCATTTTAGTTTTTCTAGGTGCTAGAGATGTTGTCATGCAGAGGTTTGTGAGTCTGAAATTGAACACCAGTTGCAGGTACAAAAAAATGTAATCTGACCCAGAATTAATAACCTAAATTTGTAGGGAACATTTGAACAGAAATGGCCTGTGCAAGTTAGTCAAAAATCTTCTTTTAGTATTTGGTTTCTTATTGAGAATATGATACAATTTGAACTGTTTTAGTAGGAAGTCTTACTCTTATTACAGTGGACCCTCAATTTACAGACAGCTTGACTTACAGACTTTTCGAGTTACAGACTTCTCTGGCCGCAAAATTTAGGTTTGACTTGCAGCCTGAGAATTGACTTACAGACCAGAAAAAAACCAAAATGGAACAAAAGTGGAACAAAAACGGCCAGTTATGGCATTAATCGGTTTTCAATGCATTGTAGGTCAATGGAGACTCGACCTACAGACTTTTTGACCTGCAGCCACCGTTCCAATACGGATTAATTTCATAAGTAGGGGGTCCACTGTAACTGAAATCCTGTTGTGTATGTTACACCGCATAAGGCTGATAAGCCACAATAATTTTTCAGAAACATAACATTTTTTAATTTCTCTTCGAGGTGGAATATCTTTCACTGTCAGGATGTCACAGGATATGAGGGAGAAATCTTTAATTACTAAATATTTGTGCTACCAGTAAAATAATCCCAGGATATGTGATTTTGGTAATTAAAGACTTCCCCTCTTGTCCCATGGCTCCCAACAATGAAAGGAATTCTACAGGAGTCTTGAAGCCTCCAGGGGAGAAATAAAAATGTTTGATTTCAAAAAAATTGCCAGAGTTGATGTTGTCATTAGCTATACAGTTCAGTGGTGCCTCGACCTACGAATGTCCCGACTTACGACTCATTCAAGTTACAACCAGCTCTGGCCACAAAATTTTGCTTCGACTTGTGACCAGAGCTTTGAGTTATGATCAGAAAAAAGGGTGGGGAAAAAGGCAGGGAATTTAAATTACTAACCGTTGGTCGGGGAAGAGGCTGCTTCTTTGTAGCTCTTTTGCCCCAATGGTTAGAGTGTGTGCATTTGAAGAGAGGCTTCCAACTGCCTGGTGCTGCTTTCTGCTTCTGAGTGAGTACATACAGGGTTTCGCAGCATGTGTTTGGGCTGAGGGGGTTATGTTTCTGTGCTGTGATGTTGTTGTTTTTTGGTGTGTGTGTGTTTTTCAGCCCCAGTGCATTCCAATGGGGCTTGCTGTGGTGTTTTGTTTTTTGCTGATTTTTCCTTCCGGCCCCAGCATGTTCCAATGGGGCTTGCAGTGATTTTTTGTGGGGGGTTTTGGTGATTTTTTTCCAGCCACAACAGATTAATGGGGTTTTGATGCATTCCTATGAGAAATGGTGCTTCGACTTACGACCAATTCGAGTTACAACCATCTTCTGAAATGGATTAAGTTCGTAAGTCGATGCACCACTGTACAGGCTAACCTATGCTACAGGATTCCAGCCAAGAAGCATAAGATTTCCTACTAAAACAGAATAATTGGTAACCTCCAAAGTCATAAGATCTCTTTTTCCTCTCCCTCTCACAGCCCCCAAATCTCTTCCACTGTGTCCTGTTGATGGACAAATGCCATTAAGTTCAATGGCGAATGTACAGAATGTCTATTAAACTCCTACCCAACTAGCTCTAGTTCTGTAGTCAGTTTGGGGAAAATCAAGTGTTTTTTCTTTGTGCCTGCTTTGTTTTTACAGCTGCAAGGGACAGAAGAGCAGTATCTTCAATCAAAAAGACACATTCATGACTTAAGAAATGCTTTGGACGCTAAGGAACATGAAATAAATGTGACTTCTCAGAAGTTACAAGACCTTTTAGTAGCATTTTCAGAAGTAAATAATACTATAAAACAATTAGAGGAGCACATTCAGAGGTAAAAAAATTACAAGCTGCTTGAAATTATGTTTTCAGGCAAAGTGTCAACATGGAGAATTAATGTAGAATACTTATATGCATTGGCTGTTTAATGTGCTGGAAAATAACATACTTTTAAAATGGAAAAATAGAGCATAATGACATTATGTGAGATTTTGAGACTTTGGTGTGGATTTTTCTTTTAAGGCTTGAAACTGAAAATGGCAGATTGGAAGAAACCACCAACCAGCAAGTTAAAAAAATTTCGACACTTCAGAAGGACCTGCAGGACAGTGTCACTGTAAGTCAGATGTAGGACAGGGAATGGATAGGGACTGTGTAAGAAAGTTTTAATCTATTGGATTCTTCCATGTTATTTTACATTTCAAGGTGCCATGTGATATAACCCAAAGAAATTTGGAGCACAGCAATGTTTGGGGAACAACAGAAGAACTTTTAAAACACCTTCTTGTGCTAAGCATTGCTCTGATCCTGTAGAGTAGTGGAATTATGGTAGTTTGTTTCGCCTCCAGGGATTATAAAGAGATACAATGAACATCACTGAAGTCATGACTGTAGAACCGTAATATCCAAAAGTAAATCTTTTAGGGAAATGGTTCCCAAAAACACTTGAGATACTCAAGGTTGGGAATCACTGTTTTAGGGAATTCCTTCAAATCTAAAGACTCTTACTGCTTTTATACTGATTCCTTTATTTTATTATTTTGATTGTAGGCTCTCAACCATCTTGAAGAAGTGATAACTGGTCTACAAAGAGAAAAAATCAATCTGGAAGAACAACTAAATCAACAGGTACATTAAAGCTTTCTGATACACCAATAATTTGTCTGCGGTCACATACACTTGTAAAATGTATGCGAACCAAGTTGATTGCTTGAAGGTGAGGAAAAGTAACATGGCACATCTTGGGGATCATTGCCAAATTTAGGAGGAAGAATTAGTCGTTGTTTAGTCGTGTCAGACTCTTCGTGACCCCATGGACCACAACACGCCAGGTCCTCCTGTCTTCCACTGCCTCCCAGAGTTCTGTCAATTTCGTGTTGGTTGCTTCGCAGACACTGTCCAGCCATCTCATCCTCTGTCATCCCCTTCTCCTCTTGCCCTCACACTTTCCTAACATCAAGGTCTTTTCCACGTAGTCTTCTATGCAATTAGTCACACCTATGCAAAAGAGAAGAAAGCTCAGAGATGTAAAGATTAAAACAGAACAAAATTTGGGGTAAGCCCACATGCATGAAATTTTACCAAAATTAGTACTTTCTTGTGGTACTTTTGAATATTCAGTCATGAGAGAGGTAGGAAGCATATAAGTTTTCTATTTTCTGCTGGCTGGCACAAAAGCTAGCTTGGGAAAAGGAGAGAGTGGTTGCCACAATTTCGGAAAGCATTGTCTGTTTCTGGATTTATTATGTGAGATATTCCTGACCCTCAGACTACCTTTCTGAGTGGTTTGAGGATAGGTTACACTGAGCAGAGTGTGATTGTAGTTATAGCCTAAAAGGATTGCTTCTAAAGCTTAAGAGGTTGGACTATTCTGTTGCTCTGCAGCCCACAAGAGGCTTTCTAAAATGATGATGAGTACTTCTGGAACTGGCCTCTCAAACTTGTGGGAAATGGGACTGTGGCATCCTTAATCAGCCAGTCTCCCAAGATGATGCAGAAATGAAGAAAGGATCTTTAAAAAAAAGCTTGAAATTTGCTACAGAAAAAAAGGGAGCCCACCAGTAAGAGCTTTTGAAGCATGCATGGGGCAGGGTGTGTGTGTGTATGAAACAAACTCTTTACTGTAGTATTTTTGTCTTATATATCTGGCACTTGACCTTCATTGTGATGATCTGAGAAGTCTGCATAAAGCTTGTTCTATTATGTTCTGTTCCTTTTAGATCAGGATGTTTACACACTGCATTTAACTGAAAATAACATGTCCGTTGTGCCTGAAGCTGATGTTCAGTGGCATACTCATTTACTTGAAATGCAGCAATTTTCTAAATATATGGCAACAAGTACATTTTAACAGTGCCAAATGTTTTATCTGAATATGCATGGGATTGGGTTCTTAAGACAACTAGAGAAGTGTCCAATGCTTTAAATGACATATATAAGACACAGCAGAAGAAAGCCTGACAGATTGTGGCCTCTAAGCCAGCCATGTGTGCTCTCCATCATCCAGACTTCACCTGGTGTGGTCCTCTTGCTAGCAGGGAAAAGTTCTCAGCAGCTATTCTCAGCAATGCTCTTATCATCTGTCAGTTACTGTCACATCTAAGAGAGATAGTAAAGAGAGCCGAGGATTATAATGCTGGTTTAGACAGGCTTTGAGATAGTTCATAAGATGATACATGAACATGTCAGCTCTTTTTATGATTATGTGCATAACAGTTAGACAGTGCAGCCATGTGTATTTTCAGCAGTTTGGGCCATGTTGCTTTGATGTCTTTTTATCTTAAGATTTAAAGTCTGTGTCATCTTGGTGTCCTAAGCACCAGCACATTTAAACAAAGTACTACAGTAGTAATGGCTGCTCTGCGCACCCCACCCAACCCCCCATCTTTAGCATCCTCTCTCCTTTAACAACACATCCCTTTAGGCTGGTAACTAAGTTTGAGGCTGGCAACATTCTGCAATGCAAAGATGAAAATCAAAACTTTTTACATACATTATTATTCTCTAAAATGACTACTGTTCCCTGCAGGATGTTAAGACCTTGTATCCTTTGCTATAATAAAATAAATATCTCAAACTATTTAAATGGAACTTGTCTTTAATATATTTTAGCTGCTATAGAGTATAACTGGGCGGTGGGGGAGGATAATTTGAACCAAGGATTGGGGTAAGACTTTAACTCAGCTCAATGACTATGAGAATGGAAGTGGGAAGAATAGTTCTAGTTGCTCTTCTAAAAATGAATTTTTAATTTTAAACTAATTCTGGCGGATGTTTAGCAGTTGACCGAAAGTAAACAGGTCTCTCCTACTCAGCAGTGCCTCTAAAATGGGATGAAACAAGGGCCAGACTAGTCACTAAACCAGCAACATCTGAACTAAGCCAGTATTTCTATGCAGATACCAGCCAAACTATTTCAAAAGTTTTTCCTGTGGTTTTCTTTTAAAAAGTCTAAAGGCTGGTTGATTGTTCCATAGGCCCAGAAGCAATTCTCAGTAACTGCACAAGACTCTCACAACATATGGGAAGAAGAACTGAAGTCACCAAGTCACTTTTCAGAGCTTGATAGGGAAAAGAAAGAACTAGTGACTCAGGTGAGTCCAGTGTGCATGGCTATATGCCCCGCTCAATGGCCTGACCTTTTTTTTTCAGATGTCACACTAGCAACATCATCAAGGGCTTGTTTCTGGCAGCTGTTTCCCTCACTTTCATGGGGTACACATGATTGGTGCCTTAATTGATCCCACATTGTAGCTAACAAAGAGGAACAGCATGGTAATGAGTATGATTATCACCGATGGGGCTTGTGATGGGGCACTGGGTGTTTACAGTAGTAAGGAAATATAGGTAGGAGTTACAGCAGATACAATATTTGCATTTGCTGTCATTCCTCAAGATAGCCAAGACTCAATGGACTCAAATGTTTCAATGGACTCAATGTTTCAATGTTTCAAGACTCAATGGACTCAATAAGCCAAGGATTCTTATGCCGTTATCAAATGTCACTGTTCACATTAAAATATAGCAGTTATTTGTTGTAAGCCACCCAGAGACCTTTAAGTAGAGTGGGCGGCATATAAGTTAGTTAGTTAATTAATTAATTAATTAATTAAATAAATAAAT